ATGATATTCATTCTTCGAAAGTAACTCCTTTGAATGTAAGTTTAACATACGGCTACGGTTTGATTGGAATTTTTATAATGTAATAAACTTTATCTAGAAAATAAATTCGTTGGTTGGATCTTTCATTAAACAGCGTTGAACAATTTAGTTGCGTTTATACAAAAATCCAAAGTTTTTAGTAAACTCTTCAGTGGGAATTCCTCCGTCATATTTTGAGTGCTGTTCAACTCTTCATCAATGATAGATAGATAATGGATGAGGACATACCGTCTTGGCATCATCTGCAATCCTATCGCGCGCGCTTAACGTAAAGCTGATTTTGCAAACAAAAATTAATCCCCCTGATAATCTTAGGAAGGAATCACCGACTATGCTGAATCCAAATTCTTGCTGTTTATAGCCGACATTCTGTGCGTAGGAGAAAATTCTTGTTCAGCCATTTGTCCATGAAAGCATATTAGACCACACCTCCTTATTTTCACATACGCATCAAAATATATGCAATGAGCCAAGAAAAATCGAGTGAAATTTCGACAGTGCTCGATGGTCTGGCCATGAGAACATAAACTGACATTAGTTGAATAGAAAAGGTTATTGAAGTGTCGAAAAAAGCGCACGAGAGATTACATTTTTTAAAGCTGCACTGCAGTCGATACTCGCGGAGCCCAATTTACATGGATGGTTGGGACCTGCCTATAGTGAAAAATCAATGTGCTCATTAGCGACTAGAGCGTATCTATCAACCTCTACACTCTTGTGCATCGACGGCACGTAAACTGTACGTGTACAAATCTGCAGAGCAAGTGTTCTACAAAGAGAAAAGAGATTTTGCGCTCCGAACAAGTTTTCCAACTTACTATTTATTTTCTTGATTTTGATTTCATTTTCTATCAATAATCCATAATTTTTAAGTCACGTGCTTGTCTTTAAATATAACATGAATTTTCCAATAACGACGTCATGACAATTTATTCATTTTCTTTTTAGATACTCATATGAACCGTATCTCATGTTTCCAAATCATTATATATGTAGAGCTTTTGGTACAATTATGTATGTACATGTATGTTCATGACAACATTTAAAGCATAGCGAGGAATGCACATCACGTTTTTAATTTAAAATCCATTTTTTTGCAATTTTTTTTCTTTCTTGAAAATCTTTTACAGAAATATAACCAATAACTTGCTAAACATAGTTGTGAAACTTTAATAGCTTATTGAAAATGATATAAGATGCTGAAGAAAGTGGTCAAAGAGACAGAGTCGACACAGTAAACGATTGAAAGGAAAATTTAAATTTTCTAATTCCAACAAAAAACCAATAAGGAAGTGATACTTGAAAGAACACTTCAAAAATAAAGCATTTACGAATAACGCCGGTTTACTTTTCCTTTTCGTAGCTTATCGTGCGGCTTTTTCTTCAGAAGTAAATGTTTGCATGCCTTAAGGAGTTGGAAATCGGGTTTACATGCTTTATCTTGTAATTCAATCACGTTGACCGCAGTTTTTAAAGATTCTGACTTATGCCCTTTCCTCAAAGATTTTTTGCTCGAAAGTGTCTCGTTGTGCTGTATCTGCCAACGATAAAGTCGAATGATTTACGCTTTACGTGTAGCGAAATTACAGAGAATACAAAAAGAAATATGTCTAGTGTGGTCGGCATATTCACCCATTCGTAAACAACTCAAAAATCTTCTAGCCGAACTTACAATTACTTAACACAAGCATTGACATCTCTTCGACAATTGTCATGAAGAAGTTTGGAAATTCTTTCAAATAAGCATAAATACTTTCCAAAGACATTTGTTAGTGTATTCCAGCAGTTTCAAATTAATAGGCGGGACATAGGCCTCTATTACCCAAGCAATCCCCTTGCAGGGCTTGGGAATAAAAACGAAATTTCAAATTTCCTCCAGGTAATGAATTTTTTACCATTTATTCTAATAGATTCAAAGCATCTATTAAGGTAAAAAAAAGAATTTTTTTTTTCCTGAAAAATTTACGATGACATCCCTCAACTAATATAATACTATCTGTATCTATTGCAATACATTGTCATTACTTCATTTTCAGTTCAAAAAAAAAAAAAAAAAAAAAAAAAAAAAACTGTTTGTACTTAAAGTATGTTATATTTTAAGTTATATGAAATTGTGCAAAAAGTAGACATTAGTTTTTAACTATAAATACTTTTGTTCTCTCGTTCTTTGCATGCATGGTAAGTACTTTAGAATACATAATTTAGTTTTTCTAGTTTCTATTAATCTATGCAAAACTTGTTAGTTTCATTTTACATAGTCGGGGGAAAAAATGATTTAAACATTTCCTACGGAAAGTGATTATCTTACATAATTTGCCTTAATGCACATCATTTTCTTCATACTGTCTTCGTCATTCATATCCCCCTTGAAATTCTCTCATATAAAATGTTCTTCTCGTAAACCATTGGTGGTTACTCGTTTCTGCCTTAATGCAACTGATTTCATAAAATTTTCTCTTTAAATCATTTCTTCTTTCTTTCCTTTATTTATTTATTTCTTTTTATTTTTACCATGTATTGTAAACCAATTGAAATTTTCAAAATGCATTTTACAACTTGACATATATATTTCTTTTTATTGTATATTATAATACAATATTGTTGTTGTTATTGTTTTTATTGTTTTCATATTGTTTTGTACACAAAACAAGCATTACCTGTATTTTTTTTTTTTTTTTTTTTTTTTTTTTATATATAAAAGCTATACATTTTTTCTTTGTTATGTAGAATTCTTTCCTTTTTTTTCCCATAGTTACACAGCATTAAAATCGTTGCATACTTTCAGTAGCTCAAATATTTTATGCTTCTGCAAAGAACATTCATTTTTTTTTTTTTTTTAAATGTTTTCCGCTATATAAGCGAATGGATTTTTAGAGAGTCAAACGCACATAAAAGGTAAAAAAATATCACAAACAATAATAGCAAAAAAAATCGTTTTGGCTGCGTAGAGAAAAGTCTATTTAAAAAAAAACATGTGTTCATCTTGAGACGAATTTTGGTTACACATCATCTGCTTTGGTTTTACTGACATATATATGGTTTCTGTTTTTTTTATTTTTTTGTGTTGTTTGCTGCTTTACGGCAGCACTTTCTTTTGATTGTTGCTCATGGTGCAGTACAGTTAGCGTTTCTTCCGTTGATTTCGCCGTACGTTGTCGAGCGTTGCCCCCTTTTTTGTTTTTATGATATGACTAGTCACTCCGGGGAATGTCCTCTCTACATGCAACAGAAAGGAATGATGGAAGAGAGAAAGAAGAGATAAGGGAATTGGGCCGAAGCCTTGTGTATATATGTGTGCTCAATCGGCAAGTGTTATGTCTTGATCGACCAAGCACTCACTACTAAGTCCACTACAAAGCTTGGTCAAATAGCACTAACATTTGGACCCGCGGACATGGGCTTGGTAATTGCGACTTTTCTCTGCTCGCTTATGTACAGCCTATTATACATGGTCTCGCGAAATAAGTTTTTCTGTTATTCCAATTATCTTAAGATGTCCAAATATAAATCTTAAGCTTCTTCCTGTTCTTTTTCTGTTTTTTTTTATATATTTTTTTATGGTCAATCATTTAGGGGATGTCCTCTATATATGTAACACTGTGATGGCTAGAAAGAAATTGCGAAAGAGAGAAAAATAATGTAGGAAAGAATATTGTTCAAGTTTTTTAATAGCTTTTCAAGGTCCTATGCCGATAATCGATTTTACGTCCTTGCTGTAAAATAATACAGCAATCCTTGAAATTCTTAAGATAAAATTAAAAATTGTAGCGCAGTAATGTGTTATCCTTAAAAAGGAAAATGCAAAGACATTTCAAATATCAAAAAAAAAGCCTAAAAGCATCTTAACGCGTACTCTTCTTGATTGGTTTGATGATGAACTTGCTATTAACCAAAAATTGTCTACGTTTTTAAAATATATTGGTTCAACGAAATAGTTCCCCAAAATTTTAACAAAAATTCACTATGGAACTGCGTAAGTAAGCGCCTGAGAATCGTTTTGAACATAAATCAAAATTCTGGAAAAATTCATTTATTCTACACCTTCGCTAACATCAAGATGATAGACCTGTGAAAAGAAATCGTCTCGTGACCCTGCTTTCGAAAACCAGCAGCGTGCAAGTACTGCAACTATTTCACTCTGAAGGGTTCGATGTGAAAATTAAGCCGCACTCTGGTCGACTCTGGTCGACCAATCGATGGTAATGTCTGTGAAATTTTTCAGCAAGGTTAGCATATTTCATCTAATGACATTGCTACGGACCTAAGCACTGAGCAAAAAAAAAAAAAAGTTCTGAATTCACTGCATAAGGTTGCATAGCAAAGGAGAAGCTAGATGTTCGCGTACTGCTTGAATTAGTAGTGAAAGCTTTAAGGGACTGAAGAAATGGAATCGGTCCTGGTTCGTAAAGATGACTTATCAAGGATAAAAGCTGATAACAATGTGTGAAAAGTTCAATATGGTCCAAGATAGACAAAGTTGCCAAAACGATGTCAAAGCCCAAATTGACGCCACACTTTACGTTTGATAGAAGTGGAAGAGGATCGTACATTAAGGCTTACTTGAACCAGACAATTGTTAGGAATTAACCCGTCTAAGGTGTGTAATTAATCACTTAACTTAACTTTTTCTTTGTGGGTTTGTAGAACTATTTTTGACGTCCATGTAGAATTTCATGCCAATATATTCAAATTCTGGCAAGTTACAAGTACTTCTACACATACACAGGTAACCTATCGACTTTGGCTACACCTATGAAACAATGATTGGTGAGGTCATGAAATGTCACATTACGGGATATGGGATTTGAAACAATCAATCGAGCGAACATCGGGATGCTTCCTTAACATCAAAAACTCCCCAAATGCTTACCTGATATTTTCTTAATCATTTGTTTAATCAACTGCTTATTTAAAAGAAAAGAACGACTTTATTAATAAATTCTTTATATAAAAAATAAAACAAAAAAAATCTTCCATAAATAACATTCTCTTGATTCTGCCGTTTACGGCAACAAAAAAATATTTCAACATTTCTCGATTACGTATAGATCTTACAGCAAGAATATCTTATGGCTTGTCAATCAAATATTTTTTGTTTTGCATTATTTTTTAAACAAATTTTTCCACAATTGATAGTTCGGGAAATTTCGACCGGACGTATAAGTGATTTTCTCATCTATCAAGGCATACTTATGAGGATAAGGTTTGGCGAGAGCATCAGTTTGTTTACTACAAAAGTTTTCCGCGTAAAAATGTTTTATTTCTTAAAAATTTCTGATAAGTTTACCCATTTTTTATAAAGTCGTACAAAAATCCAGTGAATAGATCCACCATATTAGCATCCTCTTCGCTAAGTTGACTTTTTGGAGTTCTGTTGAAAATATATTGCATATCATCCATATGCACCGCTCGTTCTAAAAATAGAAAACGATGTCAACAATTCATCTGTTTTTCCCATCCAAGGCTTTACCTTTTCGATCGGGAAAACTATCACTCTTTACGAAATATTTTCCAATAAAAGCGAATTCATAGAAGAATACTTGACCCTTTGCTGCCACTATGTCAGCTAAATGATGAGCTCCATAACGCAATAACGAATCCGAAAATAAATCGCAAAGATTATCATAATCATTGGCAGTTAAAGTTAAATCTTCCGGTAAATAATGCTGAATGATACTTTTGGTTTTTTGAGAAAGCTGAGTCGAATTTTCATACATAAATGTTATCGGGAAGAGGGTTTCGTAATCTTTTTGCAAAGTTTTTATTAATTCAGGATAGTGCAAGATGTTGGTTGCGGAATCACAAAATTCACCATTTGTATAACCGATCATTACCGGTATATCTAAGCGGGGAAGTTCCTTCAAAGTTTTATAAGGATCTTCAATTAGGAAGGCTTCTTGTCCGAAATCTTTTTCTATAATCGGTAACCATAAATACACGGGATTGTCTTTACCAAAAATGAACATTTTACGCAAAGTTTTTGCTATTTCGGAACCTTTAAATTGATCGAAGCATTGCAGCAAAGAAGATTCATCCCATTGTTCGGGTATACCGGTGCAATTCAAAACTCTGGCTTGCCGTATGGCTAAATACTGTTGATTACCAATTGGCAGATCGACTTGGGGAGGCAGTGATCCGCTCATTACAATGGCCTTATGGAAGAGACCTTTCGACATGGGCGACACCAAATGCAAGCTAACACTTAAAGCTCCCGCACTATAGCCCATTAGGGTAACATCTTTCGGATTGCCGCCAAAATAATGTATATACTTTTGAATCCATCTCAAAGCAAATACTTGATCTTTGAATCCAGCATTGCCTGGCACAGCAGACGTTCCAAGATTGAGAAATCCTAAAGAGCCCAAGCGGTAATTAAATGTTACCAAGACCACTTTTTTATTTAGCAAATATTGCGGACTCATAAAGTAACTGGCACCGCTTAGCAAATATAAACCACCGGGATGTATCGCAACTACAATTGGTAAAGGTTCTTTCGGTTTTAGCTAAAAGCAGAGAAACAGTTATACACTGTTACATTTCTGACATATTTGCTTCTTCTTCTCACGTCTTTTGTGAACACGTTCAATGTCAAGCAATCTTCAGATTGATTACGAGTCGTGATAGAGGGACATTCATAGCCGTCGTAAAAGGCTTCAATGGTACCGTTGAAGAAGTCCAAGTTTTGTGGATCCTAAGTGGTTGTTTACGAAACGATTATATATATATATGTAAAAATTTTTTTTTTATTAAAAAAGTGTTATCGATCATTTATGCTCAACAAATTATCGATTAGCGGCAGGTATTTATAACATATTCACGATTACACGATTTTAATTGTCCAATTTTATAAATAAGCAATAGATTTAACTTTTCTTTAACAAAAGTAAACGAATAGTTCATATTTAAAGCCTGTTATAAAAAAAATTTTATAAAACTTTTTTTTTTTTAAATTTTTTTTCTTACAAAGCTTTTTTTTTTAATTTTTTTCTATAAAAAAAAGTCTTATAAAACTTTTATTTTATTTTTATAATGGATAATTTTTTACATAAAAATTTAAACAATTTTTATACGAGAAATTTTTAAAATTGTTTTATATATAGAAACTTTTTAAATTTAAAAATTTTATTTAATTACTAAAAAAAAAATTTTATATTTTGAAAATTTTTATGTTTAAAAAATTTGTTCAAATTATTAAAATTGCTTTATTAAAAAAAAAAATTTTAAAGTAAAAAAATTTAACATATAAAAATAAATTTTTATTAAAAAATTTTTACTTAAAAAATAATTTTTTCTAATTAAAAAAAAAGACATTTTTTTTTTTTTTAATCATTTCAATCCAATTCAATATAAATGCATTCAAGGTGTGCAAACCGGTTCGGCAAGGCATTGTACACATGGTGCAAGCAAATCAGCCGCCAATAAATTATTTTATGTGCAAAGTTACCGATTACTCAAAAGTATTTTAAGCGTTTTTTAAGTCATCGATAATATATAGGAAAATGATCATTAGCACTTGAAAATGTTGAAATGAATGAAAATTATTATCTTGGATTGAAAATTTTAAAACAAATATTTCTTAATAAATTGAAAAGTAATTTATTTAAAATTTTTTTCTCATCAATCATTGAACATATATTTAATTTATTTGTATTTATAGTAAATAAAAAAAAAAAAAAAATTAAACTATGCTTTTATTGTAATAATCTCAATGCACATAAAGTTTCAAACTTATCAACTCACTCTAAATCGGCGTTCATTTGTCGGCGGCTTTGCATATGGTATACCAAGAAAACCAACAAATGTTTCGTTTAACCAATCTCGCATTTCTAAACCAACTATTTCTCCATCGAAATCATTGGTATGTATATCGACATAATAACGTTTAGAACTCTCCACCGAAGTTCTAATATATAAGAAAAGAAAAAGAATTATCCAATTAAACTTTCCGTAATATATTAAAATCATTTTAATAGAGATCCGTTCACGTTTAATATGCAATCAGATGTGACTGCGACTGAGTAAAGCGAGAGAAACTAAAGCTTAATTTATAAGCAGAATTTTTAAAAAACAAATGAAACCAAAGTAAAAAAAGACAAAATTATGTTCAGCCACAATCAAGTCTATTCTTTACATAAAAATATATATATATATATATATATGTATATGTCTTTAAAGCTTTGTCTGTGGTAGTTTAGAGCAAATGAGAAAAAAACACTAACGTTTTCATTACTATGCGTTGCCTAGCTTTTTATGTCGGCAAAGTCTAAATTTTTGTATCGAAATTTGCGCCTGAGAAATTCACGTGACTTATAGAGGCTTTGAAATTTATTTTAGGATGTTACACATGAAATGGTGAAATTAGTAAACCCTTCACCTTCGACGCTTACAAATGTGTAAAATAATGTGGGAAAGAATATCGTTCAAGTTTTTTAATAGCTTTTCAAGGTCTTGTGCCCATAATCGATTATACGCCTTTACTTTGAAATAATATAGCAATGCTTGAAATTCTTACGATAAGAGTGTATAACACTTTTATTTAGCTTTTATAAAAGCAAAAATTGTTCGCATACAAATGTGTTATCCTTAAAAAGGAGCATGCAAAGGCATTTCAAATATCAAAAAAAAAACCTAAAAACATCTTAACGCGTACTCTTCTTGATTGGTTTGATGATGATGAGTTTGCTATTAACAAAAAATTATCTACATTTTTAAAATATATATTGATTCAAAGAATTAATTCGGGAAATTTTGGTCCACAAATGACTTGAGAGTCAAGTAAATCAGCGCCTGTGAAAGGTAATATTTTTCTTTTTAACTTTAGTCAAACTATCGTTTTGAACATAAGTCAAAATTCTAAATTATCGTATGAATGAATAGTGAACAGCAATCATGATGTGACTGCGACTGAATAAAGCGAGAGAAACTAAAGCTTAATTTATAAGCAGAATTTTTGAAAAACAAATGAAATTAAAACAACAAAAAAAAAACAAAATTATGTTCAGCTGTAATCAACTCTGTTTTTTACTTAAAAAAAAAAACATATATATATATATACATATATCTGTCCTTAAAACTGTGTCTGGTGTAATTTTTAACAAGTGAGCAAAAACCACCAATTTCTTGCTTTTGAAAACAAAGGTATTCCCAGTTTATATTATATAAATATATGACCAGGAAGAGGAACACCTGTAAAATATATGAACAGCAAGAGGACGACCTGTAAAATATATGACCAGCAAGAGGGAGACGTGTAAAATGTATGACCAGCAAGAGGAAGACCGGTAAAATATACGACCAGCAAGAGAAAGACCGGTAAAATATACGACCAGCAAGAGGAAGACCGGTAAACTAACTGTGGTAGTGGTCTTTGACAGATATGGCTTATGTTAAAAATAAAATTGCCCTTTAATAGCTTCCGATAACCTCTTTATTCTAAATCCTGCTGCCGACAGACCGTAAACATTCACAGGACGGACGGACGCACTTACCTTGATTAATAAGGAAGTTGATGCCGATCAACTTTTTGTAAAGTCTCTGAAATTATCCTTCAGAATGTTATAAGCGTTTTCACAAATTAAACCTCCATTTACGGCAGTGGGTATAGAAGCAAACAAAACTATGAACTGCCAAGTCTCAGATGTTAATTATTAAGCATTTAATTTCCTTGATGGATTTTATATTTTATGACCTCTTTCTTTCGTTCTTTCTCTCTTTTTCTTTTTATCTATTTTTCTCTCTCTCTCTCTCTCTCTGTCTGTGTATAAACACTTCCCTATTTATTTCTCTCACTTTCATGCTTTTGTATGCATTAAAGCAAACAATTGACGGCAGAAGTTTATTTAATGGCCATATCCGGCTCGTTCTCGTTCATAAAATTGTTAACACCTCAAGTTTATATTTTCAAAGTTGACCTGTCCCTTTGCAAAAGGCTTATATTAAGTTTGACGCCTATAAAGACATGTGCGCGCGTTTAACATCATCTGTTTGAAGTTCTTTTTAAGTAGATATGAATGGAGCACAAGAAAAGCTATTTACTTTAGTTTTACTTCTATTATTATTTTATTTTTTTCTTATCATATTTTTACTAGTTTTTCTTTTTTGTTTTTCCTACAAAATAGATTTAAAACTTTAACAAAGTGTTGTTAAATCTTGAACAGTAGAAGTTTAGTGAAAGCATTTTTCTTTTGCTATTAACCACTGATAACTTGGAATTTTCATTTTTTCTGCTTCTGTTTGTAAATGACAGAATCTTTTCATTTCCATTTAAATTACAAATTTTAATATTGCTGAAGGTTTTACTTATAGTAAATTGATATCGATTACAATAACAACCTAACTAACACAATAAAACACATAAGCTTGTATGCATTACTTAGTAATCAGCTAGTTTACTATATATTGTATAAAATATTTAGAAAATTTCTTGTCATATGATAAGGTCATTCGCACAGAAATTCAGGCACAGATGAACACTGGAGCCAACAGTCATAAGGTTAAACTATGAGTTCAATCAGAAAATGTAGGCCATTAGGAGGTTTCAACTCTAAGAAAAATCTCTTACTCGGTATGAAATGAGAAAATTGGTATACGCCTCTCTAGCTGCTTTAAATTGAGATGTAAATCTTTAAAATTCAGAAAGAGATCTGCTTTCAGCTTATAAATATATCTAAGATTTATATGGAGATCTTAATATTTTCAATTAACATAGATGGGAGTTCTTCGTTGTCGTTTCAATATTGTTGAGTATTTTTTGAATATATGAAAATTTTATCAACGACCAGGCAGAGATTTAGGTAAATAGATGAGCTCGGTCAAATCAACTTAAATACTCGCTAAAAAATATGGCATTCAAGCGTATAATAATATTGCAAACACTCGATCCTTTTCCTTATCTTTACACTAGCGCGACACTAGATAAGATATTTGGTGTGGACAAGGTCAATTTATCGATCCTTGACTAAAATTCGGAAATTTATTTAACGATAAGCAGTAGTGTATTTCAGCTAAAGTTGAATAAATCTTACTATTGAATTAGCAAAAAAAAAATTTTTATTGATCGTTTCAAGTAAATAAAAATCAGGTTAAAACAAACTTGTATATCTTCCATATATGCATATAACTTTCGGTAAATTGGACTTTGTGAAAGTTATTGAACCCAAACCGCTGGAAAAGGAATATTTACGTGCTGGGTGTGGAACTGCGTTTGAAAGGAAAACCGGCCCAAATTCTCGCAGATAATCAGCGACCACTATAATTATCACTGCCGCGAAGTAAAAACTCTACTACACTCGCCCATGGCCATAGTTCTCCAGCTATGAGACTGTTATGAACCCCGCCATCTTCTTTCGTCCTAAGCATTGCATTTAAAAGGAAAATAGACTTAATAAAGAAGGCTCAAATGCTATCAGATGGTCAACGACTATTATTATTATCGTTGTTATTATTATTATGGTCTTAGCTCCCCAATTGTAAGAACCTTATGAGCTTCGCCACCTTCTTTGGTCCTAAGCTGCACACTGTTTCTGGCGTGATGAAGTGTGCGCGGTCACCGATCGTAAATATATTCTTAAACTGAAACATTCCCCGAAAGCGCCCAATGATTACCGAAATTTTCGACCAGACAGTCACTTAATGTTTTCTAGATATATTATGTCAATCGTTACAGTTGATAACTTTCATAATTATGGACCCATATCGACTAATCATCTGATTACTTGCATAAGTACAATCAATTAACTTTTCCTAAAAAGATCATTTTTCAATTTGGTTTGTTGTAGTGTAAAAATCGAAAAAGAGTTAAAATGCAAGAGAAGTCCCAGGAAGTCTGCGGGTTTAATCTTTATGTATATGATCACCAAAGACTATGCAAGCCAAAGTTTCAATTTGCATCGTAGACCTCTGATTCCTAATTGCAAGTAATTGCTCAAGTACTCTAGAAACTGTTATGGTAGGTGAATGCCTTTAATATGTAAACGTAATAGAACAGAGGGCGGTGGCACTTGGTTTAAGGGTAAATGAACGCAAGAACGAAAAAAGTACGTAACAGAAAATTGAGTTTTTTTTCGATAAAGGTTAAATTACTTCACACACACACACACATATGACTATATGCTGCATACATGTCTATCAATTTATGTTTGTACGTTTAGATCAGTGTATAGACTCTGGCCTGTAGGAAATAATTTCTTCTTTCATTTTATAGATATTTTCGAAAAGATTACAATTGTGTGTTTCTTTTCCAGTCCTTCTTTTCTTACGTACATAACGTAACGAACTTTCTAAAACATTTTTATTGCATAACAGCATGAATTTCAATTTGTTGTTGTTACTATTACTATTATTATTTTTTGTATTCGTGTTCCCTAGAAGCAGTGTGTTAAACACCGAAAATTTCTTTTCATTGTGTTGTTGCACAAAATAACTGTAAACGTGCAAAAATAGACTTAAAAGGAAAAAAAAATGCTTTTCTCCTTACGAAGGTTATTTTATTTCATGTTGTGATGATGTAATTTAGTCTTTGCGTCTTGTATGTATATTATCAATACTAGCTGTCTTAAACCATGACCGATAAAATATAAATTGATACAATTCAAGTTATCAAAGATTTCTTTGGAAATTCTTCTAACGCTTTAGGATAAACCCTTTCCTTGTATTTTGGTTTGTATAAGAAATACCGTGATTTTCGTTTACTTAATGAATAAAATCAATCACGATGCTAGAGTGAGCAGAATAAATTGATATCGTGGACAAAGAAGAAACTTTCATGGAGTTACAATTTTCAGCACAAAAAAAAAAAAAAGAAAAGAAAGAATGAAATTCACGGAAGACAAGAGCCGCGTACTACAACTCTTTAATTGGCTGATAGTAATCGACCAGATAAGAGACACTCGTCCTTTTGATGAAACTAACACCTTGTCCTGCCTTGAAAGCGCGAATATAAAAATGAGATCATTTATAATAAGGGAATTGGTGTATGTACAGGCGTACCTCGCTTACACCTTTATTCGTGTGCATCGATATATGTTTATATAGATACAGCATAAGCCAAAACAAATGAGAAGATTGCAGTCGGGCAAGGTCGACCTATAAATTCCCTACATCACATTGCCTAACATAATTCTTGCTCTTGCATAAATTTACTATTATAGGTCAGTTTTTATCACCACATATTAAAACTTGGAATTTTTTTGCTCTACAAAGGATCAATTCTCGTAAGAATCCTTATTAGGGTAAATAGGCCGAGATGGTCCGATTTGGTAGAGTTAAGTTTTCTATGTTAAATCACTAATCATATGAACTCCAGTTATCGTTATATGCGATGAATTGTCCATCGGGTCCAAAGTTTTTATAGCAATTTAGAATGCCAAAATGCTGCTAGTTAGTAACTTTTGCCTAAGATTTTGAAAATAACAATTTTCTTCCTTATAACTACTCTTCCGAGTAGGGCGCTAAATAAGGAAAAGTCGAAAAAGTAATTTGTACCGTGTTGTATCGGAACCGTACTTTATAAGTACCGTGTTAAACGGGGGACAAACGCTTCTGCATTGTTGAAGTGAAGAAATGCTAAGGAGGAATCTCAGAAGGCGGACAACATGCATATAGTGTTACTTGAAGTCCTGTAGAGTAAAATCACTTCCTGTATTAGCTCTTGGTGTTCTAAACTGAAAAAACCTTCTTTTACTGCCTCTCTTTGTATCAAGCATTCTCATTTCACCGCCAACTTATTGGTAACCAAGTGTACATAACGCTCCATGATTATTTACTGTTTACAGATGGAATACAACATCCGAGTATTGGGAGCCAGAAGATTTATGCGCTATAAGTACTTTCAAAATTGCAACATTCTTGATCCTATTCCATGTATGCTAGTGGATTTTTACATCCTATGTCACTTGTGGTACAAGGTTATACTTAGTTTGTGGAGTTACTCAGAATGTGAGAGGAACTCACCTTTTATTATACTCGTCTATTCAGAATCATTTCTTGAATAAGTTTAAGCTTGTTTGTCTTTCTGTTCGTCTTATTCTCTTCTATTCAATCTACGGGCCGCCAATTTTTTAATATTTCGTAGAGTGACGTGCTTAGAACGTGTTCAAGAACGAAAGCTATTGAACATGACTCCATGGTCCAGACAACTTCCAAAATAACGCTTTATCGTGGAAAGTCGTTATATAAAAAAAATATCAATTTACAAAATTTTTAGACAAAACTCCCTGAATAATGATGCTTCGACACTCTAGTTTGGTATGAAACATTGGTCCATAGTAGGAATTTAGCGAAAAAGTAGGGAATTTAGATCATCCTAACATATATAGGGCTTATCATGAATAGCAAGCCCATGTATGAAGAGAAAATCTAATTTCTACTTTTTTATGACGGAAAGTGAAAAATAAAAAAAAATTTTACAGAGCAAGTTAAGTTTGCTAAAGCTGGATCATGCCATACAATACTTTGCGTATTTTCCAACAAGCGAGCTTTCATGAAAAGTATCTTATCTTTTCATAATTTTTGGTTTGTTATTACCAAAAGGAGTGAATAATTCTACAAGGCAAGGTAGTGTAAGGTATCTAATAGTCGACCTTGTTCTACGATCAAAATGCTAGGTTGAGCACGAACAATCAAAACTATTGGATCTACGTTTTTTAAAGCGTGGACTAGATGGGTTAGTCTAGCCTTTTTAATAAACCTAACTATCTTATGGATATTATGTTCCACAAGTTTCAAGATGTCCATAGGGTTAGACGCTTCGAAAACCAGCTTTAAAATATTGGAAACTTTCCGGCATTCACAAAGTTTATGTTCAATCCTAAGATTTCGTCCACAATTGCAAATTGGAGAAATATATTTCTTAATGATACATTGGTCCGTTTCAAGCCGTATTCTTGCAAATTAATCGAGAACTATTCTTATGCAATAATTTAAAAAAGAAAAAGATCACAAGATATATTTCCTTTAAAGAAATTTTATCTCGAAAAATAGTACATTTTTAAAGGAGCGTATCTAAAAAAACTATGGCAACCCTATGCTTAGAAAAAGCAAGCAAATGACGAGAAGTGCAAAAAAGAGAAAATGAATTTCAACAACAATTTACCTAAGTCTTTGAATATGCACTGAAATGCCCAATTATAGTGCATTTGCATGAGAGCGTATCGAAGAAAGGTAACCCTGTCAACTCTTAGAAAAAGCAAGCAAATGACGTGGGGAGCAAAAAAAGAGAGAATGAATTTCAACATTCATTATCTTAAGTCTTTGAATATGGACTGAAATGCCCAACCATAGTGCATTTGTATTAGAGCGTGTCTAAGACAGGCAACCCTGTCAACTCTTAGGAAAAGCAAGCAAATGACGTGGGGAGAAAAACAAAGAGAGAATGAACTTGACATTCATTCTCTCACTGTGAATACACACTGAAATGCGAAATGTACTGCACTGGTGTATTGTTTATCTACCTATTCGATTGCATTTAAAATAATCCTTGTGATCGTGAAAAATTGTTTGTTTAAATTCCATATAAATATTATTTATTTAAAATGAAAATTAGCTAAGGTAAATTTGAACTATAAAACATCATCGATAATATGTTTGGTTTGATTTTCCTGATAGTTGCGAAAACCATACGGTAATAAGTTATAAATTGATGTGCACAATACCGGTCCATTTATTTCGGCAAGCTGTTCAACATAATCTGTAGCTTTAGTTATATATATAATGGTATCCTCTTTAGCAAATTCCATAATAGATTGTCGACAAACACCGCAAGGTGGTGTCAATACTTTCTCTTGATAAGCTACAACAGCAGCGTTAGTAAATTCTTTAAAGCCATCGCTAACTGCTTTGCAAATAGCATTTCGTTCGGCACAAATTGAAGGAGAGAAAGCGGCATTTTCCACATTGCAACCACTGTATATACGTCCCTCCTTTGTTCGAAACGCTGCACCCACTTTAAAGTTACTATACGGTACGTGAGCGTACTGTCGTACCCAGTTAGCGGCTTTTATTAATTCTTTTGCTTCATCATCTGAAATATATCCATAAAAAAGCTATTATTAAACGAAAAACCAACGTATTTACATATAACTTGCCTAAATCGTTGTAGTTATGTACACATTCCGTTATAGACGCCCTCATCAAACCCGTTAAATTATTATCCATTATTTTATACGTATTTTGGCAAAATGAAATATGAATATAAATGTTAAAAATCCAAATAAAATTTTCAATATTTATCCAATAGTTTTGAATAAATCATGAGAATGAAATGACATGTTCATCATAGTAAGAAAACTTTTACTTAAAATTGATATTTATAGTTTGACGAAAATAAAAGTAAATGCATTATTGATAAATTTCATTGATATGATAAGAAAATAAGCAGAAAACTACGAATTTCTCTATCTCTATCTCTAACAATCAATGAGTTCGTTTCGAAACGAATCTTAGGCACTCGTCATGCAAAGTAAATGTAAACAATAAAAAAGCTTTTCAATGGTTTAATAATTAATCAATGCTATTACTTTGTTGGTGTGAATGCATTTTTTTTTAAGAGGTCTGGGTGCGCAGTCATATGGGCATTCTTGGTAATACCACTGCCGATGAAATTGCATCTCCTATACCATCTCATTGTAATGATCGTGCTCTGATTTCTGCAGATCTGAATGGAATAACGTCACTTATACTCTTAATTTTCACAAATAAATAAAGCTCTTTGGTTTATCAATTGCGGACTCAGGCGTGACATTATTTGCCTTAAACAGACTGATGTTTAATCACACGAGATGTAATGATCATCTATTCACAATTAACACATGAAATAGCCCTTTACAATCTCCTGATCTTGTCCGAATGGTCGTCATTCCACATTTCGCAAATTGGTTACATGTGGTCTTCATGATCTCAGCCATGCCATTTGGCATTCCCACAACTTAACAGCTTGCTTTGCAATTTTTCCCTTTTTCAAATCATGTCATCACGCCATATAAGTGTTTACAGTCAAATTATTAAGCTAATCCCTTTTACACTCTCTTTTAATCTCTTTACACTCTCGTACTTATAAATTCTTTCATATGATACTCTATACTCATATATTAGGTTACTTCTTGCACAACGGAATTTACTTCTCGCTGTTCTGTTCCGTTCTACTTGGCGTACGAGTAACATGAATACTTTAACAAAAAAAAAAAAAATGGTTGTCTGAGTCGGGTCTGCCGAAAGACTTTAAAGAGAAATTGCAGTCAGAGTCCAAGCAAAAATAATGCTGATAATGACTTTTGGTGCCGCTTTTCTAACTAATAGACATTGTTGCACCTAAAAGACCTAGAAGTTTCACCCTTGATATCCCAAGATATCAATTTATTATTCTTCAAAAGGATTTAAAGGGTTTTAGCTCCTTAGTACTGGTGATCTGTTGATTGGTATCGAAATATTTTCCGTTTTTATATATCTGAACAACCTGCACGAGTGGAATGGTAATGAACAGATAAAGGAGAGAGACAGAGATGTGATAGTATTCGCAGCTTAGAAGGGGTATGTCCAATCGTTGAATGGTATACCCTTACCAGCCGATTATTGACTTTAAGTACGACCCTATATCAATCCTAAGGAAAGTATAATCTATCGCACTGGCTTTTATAGAACGCAAACATTTTTACTTCCAGGTGGTGTATGCCCAATCGATAAGTGATATGCCTTTGCCGACCGAGCACTCACTATAATTGCGAGCGCACATTACTGGCAAGAAGGAGAAGTCTGTCACACCGGCTTTTAACGAAAAAATCGATACCAGATTTTAAATACAAATATATCTCCTTTATTTTACATTAAAATGGGTCATGGAAGAGGACGAGGTCTCCAGCTGTAATAAAAAATATATTCAATTAGTTACATAATACATATAAAATCCTGCCACTTCTAGAAGGTACATCGGGCCTCAACGATTACGTTCCATTCTTGCTTAATCGTCGCTACGGTCTTCAACTCGTTCCACGTTTTGCTCGCTCTTGCTGTTTCGATGGTCAATTATATCGGAATTGTATATAATATATATAATATATGCTATATATTATATGCAATTATATGTAGTATAAACTATATATTTTATATATTGTGTATATTTTATATTATATATAATTGTTATTATATATTATATCCAATATATTATATATTATATTTAATATATTATATATTATATTTTATAATATGCATTATCTATTATATACTGCAAATTTAATACTACACATTATATTTTTTGTGGTGCAATTTTGATATAAGCTAACATTATATTATATAATATATTGCAAATAAATCATTTTGTATAGTGTTCTAATGATTTTTCTAATTGTAACAGGCGAACCGTGAGATAGAGTACATCTTTAATGGCATAGCTATGTAAATATTCTCAATAATTCGAAAAATGTGAGAATAAGCGTCTGAATTATTCTCATTTTAAGGTTTAAAGCATTCGTATAAATTTTGTTGTTGGATTTTGGACTCATTGTAAGACTCATAACAGAATAGAAATGAGCAATCATTCTGTTAAAATTTTCTTATTGGCAGACAGATAGTTTTCGTTCTCTTCTAGAATGATGTGCTTAAGTATTAATTGTTTCACTCAAGATTGATAAATCGATTGATTGCGTTGATATGTCATTTCTTAATAAACTCAGATTTAAAAAGAAATTCATTCGCTGCCAATAAGGTGAGGGCCACATGCAGAGGACTACAGTTTACGCTACACCACTTTATAGTTATTTAAAATAAAGGCTTTTCTTAATAAGGCGTTGTATAGCAAATCCGATACGAACCATTTTCAATAGCTTTCGCTGCTAGGCCAAAATAAGTCGGCCGGTGGACAGTCGGACAGACAAGCCTAGTTGATATAAAAAAGTGAGTTTATCTAAAGTCTTTCTGGTCTTTGTATAAATTCCCGCAAAGTTAACACATGCTTATACAGACCGATGTGAACCGACACTGTAAATTTATCACACTGTCCATATGTTGTATTCAGAGTCTTGAAAATTTCTGGAGATAATTGAACCTTAATAGTCATATTTCAAATGCTTTTAATCCGTAACGTTGTTGGCAACGTTCCAACAAAATGACTCCGTTTTTCTATTTATTATTTAGTTCGTGAAAATTAAAAAAATCGAAATTAAACGAAAGTCTTGAAGCTGACTGAGATTCCTACTTAACTTAGATCGTATGACCATAGTTGATGTGGCGTATTCGCCTAGCCAGAGGTAAACTATTCGTACTGGAGTGATAAACGTATGTTCTTTCTAAGAAAATAATTTGATAGGGGCCTTAATTGTCCATACAAGTTTTAAGAAGTGATAGAGCAGCAACAAAATCTTTGCATAAGGGACGTAGAAGGACAAAATATAGAAAAGTATCCTTTTGGTGAAGGGGGTTTCTCGAAATTGTTTGTTGAAGGCATTTTGTGCTCTTTGTTTTTCTCTCTCTCTCTCTCTCTCCTTCCCACAACAACAACCACCTTCAACTCACTCTCTCTCTCTTTCTAACTTTCTCTCTATCTAATTATTAGTAGTGTTGCCGTTGCTTATAGAATAATTAATTTTAACATTTCTCTCCCTTTCTCTTTCTCTCTTGCTCTTTACAGGTAAAAGTTGATAACTGAAGTATTTCTGGCTTCCCGCTAATGTGCTACATACCATCATATTTGCCTGATCATTATATTGGTGTTTGTATGAATTTATTACAATTTTTACATTTTTTAATTTATTTTACTCATTTTTATGTCGAGGTAGACAATAATAAGCAAATTGTTATTATGGAAATTTTGATTTTCAAACACTTCTGTTGACCAAAATTTATCAAAGAAGCTGCAGACAGTGGTTTAAAAATGAAAAAAAAAAAAAAACAGAGAATAAAACGGAAATTAATATTGTTTGGTTCTCGGCGGAGATGATATACATATACTCCGATAAGTATTCTAAACTATTGTTTTATGTAATTTTAGAATTTTATATTTGTGTAAGTGGTAGCAGCAGCAGGAAATGATGGAAATGGTAAATTTGCCAAAAATTCATTTCCTTATTGTAATGAATATTTTACATAAATTTTACGAAATTTTTTTTAATTGTGTTTTTTTTGTTATTTTAAGGCATATGTGACTTAAAAATCCACATGTGCATTATGTGGGTAGAGATTGATAATAATGACAATAGCGAAACGAATAGTATAAGCCGGGATTTTTAGATTTAGAAAATTTGTATTATAAATTGTTATTGGAAACTTTAAATTGTTGGACACTGCTCCCTTACTCTCTTAAAGTCCAAAGCTGTAGGAAGCTTCGAATTATCGATTAAAGCATCCTAGCTGACAATACGTATTAGAAAATCTCTTCAGAACTTTAGCAGTTCAAATAAGAATAACAGGCATCTGTCCTTACTAACGAAAGTTGAAGTTTGTCTCCATTGTTGGTGCGTATTTGGTTTACTGATTATTGCTGACCCTGCTTTAATCCTGCATGTTATAGGAACGCGGCATGTTTTGTCATTTAATAACTGCGTAGATATGACACCTTACTTATTATCCTTTATTTATTAAGCCTTATTTATTTTCAATTAATCGGTATTTGTTTTCTCTTATCATCTATCCGCTTTTACCTATAAAACGTTATCCTTCGCCCATTCCTTATAAATTGCAAAGAAAATGCATTTATTTTTTTATTTCTGTCATTAGCTTTCAATGCCCATTATAATTATCCAATTATCCTCCGTTATGTCATTCGTGGATTATCTATTAGATAATTGCATGAATTTTGATCATTTATTTCATTTGAAAAAAGGGTATTTATTGAAAAAAATTGGTACAATATATATTAATCCAAGTATTTTCCATCTACATCCATTCTACAAGTTTGGTCCACCTTTTCGGCAACGTGATAATACCGTTTGGAAAGAACGATATGACTTTGGCAGCGATTTAATCATCGACAGATTTTCCCACCTCTTCAGCATCTTGAAATTGCGTACTAGTCAAGCCATGCTTCATCGATATAAACAAATGATAGTCACAAGTCGCTACGGCTGGTGTATACCGTGGATACAGCGGAAATTCGCATAAGCGCTTTAACAATGTATCCTTGGCAACTCTTGCAGTCTGTGGCCAAGCGATGTAGTGTAAGAGGATGATTTTGCGTCTGGTAACCGCTGTTGCTGATCTCTTTGGCAACAATACATCGTTCAATTTGTTTAACTGACGTCGGTAGATATCTTCAGTAACAGTTACATTCGGTTGTAGCAGTTCGTAATGTACTACATGGTGGTGATGCCGTTGTATGCGCAGCAAAAGTTTGTGGCCGCCGT